AGTGGTAATGCATCATAAATAATCTGATTCTACCGATCTGCATGGGCGCATGGGCTGCAGGTATAACTTTATGTATAGCTCAGTGTTATTGACTGCATAAAGTCTGGAACTGGCAAAAATTGGTCAACTTCAAATTGGTTTATTTCTGTTAAAAATGCATAAAAAAAAACCTGAAATGCTGCATCTGGAAGTTGAGTGTATATACAATGGTTGCTATGATGAGTTTTCACCGTTTGCTCTCCAGTTTTCAAAATGACGTCCAAGCAAAAGGAGCAGCGTGTCAAAATTTTGTTCGCGCAGCAAAAGAATCCGACGTTCTCACGCGCCAAGTTGGTAAAATTGCTGGATGTGGAAAAATCGACCGTGAAAAACGTTTTAAGTGTTCGGGGAGCGTCTGTCAACCGCCAGGAAGCCTGGAAGCGGCGGCAATCGTTATCCGGACGTGGAAGCGACGACGAAGAAGGTGGCGGTGAAATATAAGCGGCATCCTAACCTCTCCATCCGGGACGTCGCTGGCAAGCTCAATGTCTCGCATACTACTGTGCAGCGGGCTAAGAAACGAGCCGGGTTGTCGACGTTTAAGAAGGTGAAGGTGGCAAACCGAGATTACAAACAAAACACGTCGGCAAATCAGCGGTCCCGAAAGCTGTATACGAATATGCTCACAAAGTTTGACTGTGTCGTCATGAACGACGAAACTTATGTGAAGGCAGCTTCCGGGACAGGAGTTTTATACCGCATTAGGAAAAGGAAAGGTGGCTGAAATGTTCAAAACCATCAAACTATCGAAGTTCCCGAAAAAATATCTCGTCTGGCAGGCCATATGCACGTGTGGTCTAAAAAGCGCCATTTTCATTACTACGGGAACCATCAATCAAGAGATCTACGTCCAGGAGTGCCTGGAAAAGCGGCTGCTACCATTCCTAAAGCAACATAATAGACCTGTGCTGTTCTGACCGGACTTGGCGAGCTGCCACTATGGAAAAAAGACAATCGAGTGGTACGATGCGAACAACGTGGTTGTGGTACCTAAAGACCACAACCCTCCCAACAGCCCAGAACTCCGCCCTATCGAACGGTATTGGGCCTTGGTCAAACGGAATAAAAAAAAAACTAATACACCCATGGAAAACGAGCAGCAGTTTAAATCTAACTGGCGTTCGGCGGCGAATAAGGTCGATGAGACCACTGTGCAAAATTTAAAGGAAGGGGTTAAGCGGAAAGCACGGCAGTTCTGATTTGGCAAACCAAAAGAATAAACGAACATTATTTCCTTTAAATATATGAATTGAACTACCAAAAGAAAAATAAGAAGATTTTTGTAATATGAATTTTGACTTAAAGAAACGATTTTTTTGTCGACCAATTTTTGCGCGTTCCAGTCTTTATTAAGTTGCAATTGAGGTATATTTTCAAGCGTCTTATATTTATGAACCAAGCTTATTCATATATATATATATATATGAATATGACACAACATTGTTATTTGGTTCAGCTAAGGTTCGAACGGTTCCAGCTGTGATTTATTTACTGATCATGAGTAGTATTCTAGTATCTAGTATTCCTGTTGTTAACAATACTCAAAATTGAGTGGTTGAATTGAATGAGAGGACAAGTTTTTCAAAAATCAAAATAACGACATCTACACAATGTTGCATGTGAATAAAGTATATGTTAATCAACGACAAAGCTATCTGATTTCGATGATTAAGGTAAGAATATTTGAATTAAAAGTTGAATGTGTGGTCAGGTTAGTCATTGTGGTTGTTCATGGTTATTCCATGAGTAATAAGCTCCAAAAACCGATATGTTATTTTATTTTTCTCAAAACTAACTGGGAGCAGAAATATTGAGAAATATTCAGAGCAGATTCAAAAACTTCAGGGAAGCTCTGAGGACAATAGAAAAGTTCAGAACTTTGGGGAAGTTTGTGTATCTTTAAGAGCATGTTGTGAGAACAACAGGGCAATCCCATGAACTTTTAGAAAATTTCGTGAACTTGATGAAGTTCAGAGAACATCATGACAGTTCCATTAACTTCAATTCTGAAACTTTGAAAGCACTTCGGAAATAAAATTCTGTTTAGTTCCAAGATTTAAAAAAAAACATCTTTGGGAAAATTTTAAGAATATCAGAGCAATTCCATGAACCTTTGAAATACGTTAGGGACTTTAAAGAAATTTCTTAAACTTCAGAAAAAAATTTAAAAATTCAGGGCCATTTGATTATTTAAAAAAATGCAGTATTTTAACAGTTCCAAGTGCAATGTTTGAAAACCGTCAAGGACGTTGGAAGTGTTAAAAAAATCTGAAAAATTCCGGAATCTGTAGTTAAGTTCTAAAAAATTCCAGAATATTTTGTTTTTTTTTTTGTTAGTTTCATTGCGGGAACCATTGAGATATTCTGAGAATTACGTGTAAATTTTAAGGTAGTTCTGAAAACTTCATGATTGTTCAGAGCTATGGGGAAGTTTTAAGGTCCTGATTTGTTTATTTGTTTGGTACATTTTCATCTGACTTTAAGTCTTAATGAAATAAATGGTAGGGAAAATCCTGTAGGATTCAGGCGTTAAAACCCTTTATTAATATACCTACACCCAACCGGGGGATGTAAGATTTGCTTACAATTATGTAGGATTCATCATCAGAGAATGTTAGTGGAGACCGCATGAACCGAGGATGGGATATACCTAGCTGCGGTCCAATGCAAGAAAATTGAAGACCGAAAAATTTAGAGTGTATTAGTGAGGTAAATTAGTTATGTCGAAAAAATAGGAATCAGATTGCCGACTGAACTCGAACCAAGAACGTTGAGATTATCAGACCTGTGCTTTCTTCACTGCTCTCTCCATGCTTCTGAATATGGATAGCCTAAAAGCAAACATGAAGCGCTCATTTTCTCGCATCCTCGACTTCGTATGCTTTTTCTGCTGGAGAGATTCGAGGCGTGTGCGTCGTTCTACAAGCTTACTGGTATAGTCGAAAGCGTAGATAGAACATGAAATAAAAAAGACAAAAAACCATTACATCGCCTGCATGGTCAATTTCTAACATTCGTTGCGATGTTCATGAACAGAGGAAACGGAACTAACATTCATTGTAATAGATTTTTGGTTTGCGTGTAGGTTATTCGTAATTGGGGTGTTTTCTTCAGTCGAGTACTAACAAGAAACTGCTCATTGTAGACGAATTAGGTGTATCTATCAAGGATAAGCAAGGAAGTGGAATTAAATGGAAACTACTTATCCTCATCTCTCTGATTATACTTGAAGGCTCTTTCATGCATTCCAGTTAAATTTAGAGAATCTTGAAGAGGTCTGGGCATTTCAAGAAAGTCCAGCTAAAGCTTCTGAGAACATATTTTAAACATATGTTGGGAATATTTCAGGAGTCCAGAAATTTAAAGTGAAAATCTTCACGTGAAGAACATGAGAGTTTGGTTAACTTTCATACAGGTTTGAGAACATCAGAAATTATCAGAGAACTTTAGTTAATTTCAGTTAACTTAACAGGAATTACCAGAGATTCTTTGAAAACTTCAACAAAATTCTGAGATCATCAGTAAAGTCCAGAGAACTTCAGAGAAGTTTTGAGTGTAAATTGGTTGATGAGCGTTTTAGTAGAATCATTTAAAAAAATTATCACGTTGTTTTGAGTTTAGAGATGTTAGTGTTGAGATTTTCAGGCTCTTTCATTATTATCAGGGATGTTCCAATACCTTGAAGGATGATTAGAGAACTGTACTCAAGTAACATTGTATGTTTTATCGAGATTTGAAAGAATTCCATAAGTCTAAACCATGGTCTACATATCCCTCTTAAAACCCAAATTGTTACTTGGGTATAGCAGAACCATTTTTTTAACAGCAGGTGCTTTTAAGAAGTTCCGAGAAAATATGGAAAATTCCAAGAATCTCAGGAGTGTTTCAAAAATTTAGGAATATCTAGTGAACTAATAGAATGTTAGAGAAGTTCCGAGAATTTATTGAAAATTTAGGGAATCACGGAATCATTCCGAGAATTTATTGAAAATTTAGATAATCAAGGAATAACGAAAACTGGTGGCAAATGCAGTGAAATTCAGGAAACTTTAGAGATTTAAAGGTATGTTCCATGACCTTCAAGGAAGTTTAAAACTTTAGGAAAACATCTGCGGAAACTTTCAAAAGTTCTGGGAAATTCAAAAAAACTTGGTAGTGCCAAAATCTTCAAAGTTGCACCGGAAACATCTGAAAATTCTATAGACTTTCAAAGATCTCGATGAATTAGTAATTTTGTTTGGGATCAGATGCCATGGGCTAGGATCTTCATCAAGACTAGTTTTAGTTTTAGATCGTAAAGCTTAGCGGTTCCGGAGGTAACCGTGAGTGCCTATCACCCCAAAGGCCTGCGTTCTATCCCAGTTGGCGCAGCCGGGATTTTCAGAGGCATACAATCTCTGATCACGCCATTCTTCGGAATGAAAGTAAAACCGTTGGTCCCCGGTACATAAGTTGATGGGTTCAAGTGTGGGAGCTCCCTCCTAGACTTCGGTAGCATTGGTACTCAGTACGGAAAACAAGATCGACCGAAAACAAATCAAGGGAAAAAAAGATCACAAAGTTTTTTGTACTGAACGAAAGACGGTACAACTTTATAACCCATAAGAATTGAAACATCGGACGTAAAACATCGTAGCGTTTTGATCCACTGTACTATTGTTTAGTGTGTACCTCCCTTAAATGCAATTATGGGTGCTCCTTAAAAAGGTGCATAAACTTGAGATAGGTGATGGTGCACATATGCAAAATCAGTGAGTAACCAGCTTTAAATTTACCATACAGAACCGAAATCACCAATCTTAAAATACAGTGCATAACGCATTCACGATAGAATCAGTTTTAACAACTCCTTCACCCACTTCCTTTGTGCTTTCCGCTCCCAACTGAAAACGGTTTAACTATTATTACAAAACTTAAAAATAAATTTCCTTATCTCTTCCTTCTATTGGTGCAAATTACAGGGTCTCTTCTCACGGATCACCTTTCGGGAGCCGGTGTTCCTCGGGGGATTCGGCAACATCACCGGACTGGACAAGAAGCTCCCCGTCAGCAATGGTTTCACCGGGTGCATTCGAAAGTTTGTGGCCAACGAGCACGACTACAACTTCCAACCGGTGCCGCTCGGTGACGTTTCCCGGGGATTCGATATCCGTAAGTATCTGTTGTTACCAGTAGTCGTATGTATATTTGCATTGTTGCTTAGAGGGTTGTTAGTTTTCGATCCTGTCTGAAGGGACAAAGCTTAGCTAACGACGAAGAAACAATGTGCTGCGATGGAAGGAGGCTGTCAACAATGGAATGCTTTTGAAATGAACTTTTTCATGACATTTCAAATTAAAATTTGCATTTATTTAATGGACATCAGTCCACGCACAGAGCTATTTTAAGTGTTCCATCGGAATTTGATCAAAATGGAGGATCTTTGTAAACTTCATTATGGTGACAGAAAAGATAACTAGGGCACTACTTAGGAATGTTTTTTTTTTTTTATTTTTTTTTTCAAACCCTCATCCCCCGCATTAATCAATGTTCACGTGTGGTGAGTTAGGTTAAGCAGTTAATCATCAATTTACAGGCAACCAATTTGCGATATATTCCACATAAAGTTGATCGATGTTGCAAATCCATCCATGGACGACTACCATAACCATTACCATAGGTTCTAATATAGTTCTCTTTCCGAAAATGTTTGGAGAAAACAACAATTTTGAATGGTAATGGTTCTTAACAACCTACTATTTGTAAGGTCCACTTTCAAAGAAGCATAATACATAAGGTTAAAACTTTATCACACAAACGTTCATGTAAAGTTCCATAACCATTTTAGTTAACGTTAAGCAGGGATTATAAACAATTTTTAACCATTTTTGGTAAGGTCATGTAATGGTTCCCATTTCTGCGGGTTGGCCTGAGTTGGGAGATTTTGGTCAAGTTCTAAGAGCTTCAGTTATAATATAATTATTAATTGTAAAACTGATCAGTATGAAACCTTACTTGTATACCATCACTACACCGTTTAAAACTTTCATGAAAATTTTAGCGCACTCATGCCAAATTCGGTGTTCCACACAGAAACAGATTCATGCTTTCTCATTGTCTTTGAATTTATATTTATTAGATGGAATCAGTAAAACTTCGAACCGAAATGTAGCTCAGTTTTCCCATCGGCAGGCTCATGTAACATCTGCCAAGGCAGATGTCAAATCCAGCAATTGTACCGCTTCGCCAAAAGAAAAGCGATCCATGAATTCAGCAAAAAAAAACAATTTTACGGAATCGTGCTTCTGTTCTCCACGTTTCATTCCGTTACAATTTAATTAAAGGATAATTAATTTTAAACTTTTTCCGAATCTCTACCAGCCGTCTCGCATTGTGGTTGGTTGCCATATTTTATATCATTCTTGTCATGTGTTCTCTCTCCTTTCCGATGACTCAACTACGCCCACCGCCCTCCGCCCACCATCATCCGGACGTACGCTTCGCTACTGTGCTCAAATGTCATCCGATCCAATCTGGCCGCGACGACCCAAACATCGCTATAATTGGGGTCCTGCTGTGCTGTATGGGTGTGTGTGTGTTTTGTGTGCGGTTTGAACGAACAACGCAATAAAAATCATATAACAACAACAGAGGAATGTGTCACCGATCGGTGCAGCCGGTATCCCTGTCAGCACGGTGGCAAGTGTTTGCCCTCTGACGATGGTGCAATCTGTCTTTGTCCGCTGGGATTCGGCGGTGATTTATGCGAGATGAGACTGGATTTACAGGTACGTTATTTCATTAGTTTTTTTTTACTGAAGATTTAGGGTTGTGTTTTGATCCATTTTATCACGAGTAACAGAAAGCTGGAACGAAATATGATTTGAAAAGTTATGTAGGGAAAAAAACACAGCATATGCAAGAGCTCACCCATTCGAATGAGTGACCATATTTCAGAATCAATTTCAACTCAGTACTCGCGGTCCGTTGCTATTGCGGTCAACTATCGTCAGCCCTGGGGAAAGCAATTATTCTCCCATCACAACAGATTGGTAGCGGAGCACTAGCAGCACTCGGAAGCGGTCTGGTTTGGTTTATTTTCTTCTTCGATAATTAATTTCCATTTTTTTTTTTCATCACTTGGAACATTGGTCATTTTCATATTTCACAGCCCTGGTACACGGGTATTTCATATTTTCGCATCGCAATCGTAATTGAACCGAAACCCGAGAACGTCCAAAGCAAGCGTAATGACCGGAACAACGCAAGGGAAGCCAGTTTTAGGACTTCGTTCAACCGGAAGCTATTAAACGAACTTTTTTGTTTTGATTTTAACGAGCAATAAGGATACTCTTTTCTGCGAGGATGCAATTAACGAATGGTTTAATTACTTTTTTTATGGTTCTCTCGTCACGCTTCTTTTGCAGGTGCCTTCGTTCAATGGATCGTCTTACTTACGCTTTGCCCCGCTTGGTGACAGTTGCATCATCTGGTTTGAACTAAAGGTGAGTAAAAAGTCGGAATTTGGTCCTGAGCCAAATTAATGGTAGAAACTTGCATGAATTATGTTTTCTAAATGCATTTTTGTTATTGAATTAACTTCATACAACGATATGCAATTAGTTGTAAAAGATCTTGAGGGTAAACTATATCATTTTGCAGTAGTTTTTCTCATACCTGAGAGGTAATATGAGATGAATATAGTTTAATGTATGTATTGGAATTTAGTTTTGAGGTCATTCTGAATTAAGCTCCTGGAACATTTGAAATTCATACTCTCTTGTATATACCATCAGGACGTTCGACTCTACATTGTGCTTTAAAAAAAATGGAGCTCAGCAAAGACGAGGATGTTTTCTCGGGAGTACAATAAAAATACAATTTAAAAACATTTATCAATATTATTGTCTTCAAGACACATACAGCTAGTATCTATTAACAAAACTGTTTCGCTCAAGTATTAACCTTTACGTAACTAACCTCACCATCACACAATTCAATTGGTACCTATACATCACCTCATATCCAAATTTCATCCTCAATATGCTGCTATATCTTAACATCCTGACTGTGTAAAAATATGCTATCTTCGAGAAAGTTGTTCATGTGAAAGACTAGATCACTATGCAGCGCTTATGTGCATACTAATGTACAGGTATGCCTCCAAATATGAGCATTATTCGGACCACATATACAGCCATTCCACAGCAAAACGAAATAGTGGCTCTTAGAATTTCGTAAAATTTTGTGGTTTTGTTCTTTATCGCAAAATATTACACCAATATTATTTTTTGTCATTAGGGTGGTTATGATTTTCGGTGGTGCAAAAAATCGATTTTTTTCAAAAATGACTTTTTTCAAAAAATCATAACTTTTGAACCACTGGACTGATTTCAAAGATCAATATCAAGATTCAATGTCAAATGAAAGGTTATTTAAAATGTAACAATATGAGATTTGTCTAGTCGCATAGGAGTATTGAGCAAAAACTTGATACTTTTAAAATATAACCTAAAAACCATCAAAAAAACATCGCTGATGTTTTATAAAATGTGTTACAAAGCCAAAATATTCAAGGAAAAATATGAAAACATATTGTGCCTTCTGTCTACAAACCATGAAAACCATGCAAACCACGAAAAAAACAAATACAATCAATGTTTTTTAAATTCAAAATCTCGTATCATAAATATCAATATTTTTTTATAAATGTATTTTTCATAACCTGTCATTTGATATTTTTATATCCAAAATCGACCAAGTAGTTCAAAAGTTATGAATTTTTGAAGAAAGTCAGTTTCAGAATAAAACGATTTTTTGGACTACCCTAACATGGAAATGGTCACCCTAATGAAAATAAAAAAAAAAAGTAGAAGGGTCTGTGCCTAGGGGCACGAACAGAAACTTGACTTAGGACCGCTAGTGGACGGAACAAATATGTTGAGCCTTTAGTTCTTTTAATTGATCGATAATCTATTATTTTAACTCTTCCTATTATTGAATTGTTGGCCCTGAAAAGGGCCGGTTGTTTTTCAAATGGTGGTCCTGAGAAGGGCCGTTATTTTGTTTCTGGTGACCTTTTGATCGTTTGGAACGGCTACCATGTAGCTGATGAAAAAATAGTGATTATTGATACCTGTAATTTAAAAAGTTTGCTTGTGACATTAAATTCTGATTGATGATATTACAAAAAGAAGTAACTCTAAGACCAGAAGGTCCCGAAGAAACGTGCTCAACTTTTTGACTCAGCTCTGGTACTCTCTTCGGTCCCAAGCTAACCGATGCACCCCTCAAAACATAGGAAAATCCACCTCCACCCATTTTATCTGTAAAACTTTCATAGCAAATCAAAACAAACATAGTGTAGTACTAGAATGTCGACTAGAATGGAGTACGTTAAAGAATTTGCTTGGAACCAATGGGCTAGTCAAGTAGTGAGCCAATTTAAAATCGTTAGTTTCGATGTAAATAGAAATGATGAATACTTTACATTTAAGATCTGGAATATGAAGCGTAAAGTCCGTTAGTAGTCGGAACAAACGTGTTTACTCTTAGTTCTTTTAATTATTCAAAAATCTATTATCTCAATTCCTTCTGTATTTGAATTGGTGGCCTCGAAAGGGCCGTTTGTTTGTTGGTTGTTGGCCCTGAAAAGGCAAATCCACTCGCCCGGACTTGGTACATAGATGACATTGCTTCACAAAGCCGATGATGGTGACGCTATAACGCGCAACGCACTTAACAATGATGGCCCACAGCGGTGGATCTCATGACACATATTATTGTTTATTGATTTATTTGATAAGGCTCAAACGAATTAACTTTATAGAGCCAAGGATTCTTGGTCACTTTACAATACATCTTAAAACTATAGTCAAAATGTACAACACAATAAACACTTTATCTTCCGCTATCCAAAAAGCCTCCTCCATCAGAACTGGAGCCGCGTCAAGTAGTTTCATTGTATGGCAGTTACGGCAACAAGGGTCAGAGCGCTTCCATTGCAGCAATGGACGCAAAACGTGGTCTGCACTCACACACTCATCGCGAAACGGTTGCTTTCCGAAGTCGACGACGCATCGACCGAAAGAACTACTGATGAAGAACAATGAGGAGGACCACACAATGGTTGCTGCCGAGAAAACAGACGATCGCGTGGCACACATCGAGAGTGGCCTGCTTTTGTCGACAGCCGAGTGAACACTGCTCATGACACATATGTGGCCGAACAAAAATGATGCAACGTTTTTACCACGGGGTGGAGCGTTCCTGGTTGTAGTTACAGTAATGACCCTATTGTGTCAGCCCCCCTTTTTGAAAATATTTTCTAATGTTATACGAAACCCATGCGCTTTTTTATTGGCCATATTGCACCAAACCTTGAAGATGAAGGAGAAAGATTCGGAATTACGGTTATGTGAAATTATTAAAAGATAAAAGTTTTATGCTGACAAAATCGGGTTATTACAGTATATGGCAGCATTCACACCAGACCAAGACGTGCTCCGGCCAGCATTACATTGGATTGTTGTGGAAGAACAACTAGCGCTACTTGGCTCTTTCACACCAGTGCAAGTCGATGCCGACCGGATGACAGCGGCCCAGTCATGCTGCCTATTGCGGGAAACTTTTCCTCCGGTTGATGTGGGTACATTCGTCGTTGTCTTCGTATTGGCGCGATGCGTGCTGTTCCACTCATACGTCGTGTCCGACGATTATCCGTTTGTTACTCGAAAGTGAATGCCGATGAAAACGATTTGGCAAGTGTTTTTATTACCGCTGCTTTTCTCCTCCCTTCCATTCATTGGTGAAATGGTGAGCGGTCAACCAAGCGGTGAGCATGCGCAATGTGTCGTGTGTTCGATTTGCGCTCTATCGTTACGTCCGTGTTTGGGATTTTTCGTTACATGTCTGAATTTTGATTTTTTTAATGTAACCCCCAGTATAGAAATTAAAGACGTAGTCCTACTTCAAAATAAATATGGGTCTAATATTTTGCCATAACGAACAAAACCACATATTTTACGAAATTCTGAGAACCACTATATCGTTTTGCTATGGAATGGCTGTATATGTGGTTCGAATAATGCTCATATTCGGAGGGATACATTAGTATGCACATAAGCGCTGCATAGTGGTCTAGTCTATCTTTCTGAGGGTTTTTATCAAATGATGAACTTTCTGGAAATGGTCACCCTAATGACAAAATATAAAAAAATGCGGGTATAAAACTTTGATATAAGGAACAAAACTAAACATTTTAACGAAATTCGCAGAACCACTACATCGTTTTGCTCTGCAATGGCTGTTTAAGGGAACCGCAGCAATGGGATTTGGCTTAATCAATTCAAACATTGAATATCTCGTGATCTTACAAACATAGAAGATTTCTGTGTTGGGCAAACTTGTTCAGTGGATCAAGGCCTACGCGGCGTACTTGAACTTTCTGTACAAGCTGTATCTCGAGATTCTTGCCATATAGAAGGTTACTGTGTTCAGAACATTCTCACTACGTGGAACTAGTGTCCCAAGTAACACTTGCAACATCTTGCATGAAAAATAAAAGAAAAATCCAGTTGTAAATAAGTTATATATTAATTGTTGTTTGTGAAGTATTCAACCTTTCTGACAAGCACTGTTATCTTGAACTTATAATTCGATATTGCATGTCTCAATTACCAGTTTATAACACATTTATAACTGATTGTATTTGATGAATACTGGCTAGCCTTATGTACAACATGTTTTCATATGTCATTATTAGAAACATCCCAAACAACCAGAATGCACGTATATTCAAAGTTGTTTTCGTGATATGCAAACATATATACAAACAAACAATTCGTATATAATGCAAAGAAATGGCTTATACGTACAAAAGTGGAGGCCATATACGTGCATATTTTAATTTAATATTAAACGAGTTGATTTAACATCATATACGATTTAATCTGTAATAACAAATTCATTTTGAAAAGTCTTACGATGTAATCCGATTTAATTTGTGATACAGTACGATGGAAAAATGAGTCATCGCATATTGGTCGGAAATTTGCATTCTATACGATTTAACTTAAACATAATGAGAGGTATACCATTCTTATATGCGATTTTGACTAAAACTGTAGCAATTTACGATACTGTCTGTACATTATTATACGACTTCTGGTTGTCTGGGATGAATACATCTGAGATATGACTTATTGATAACATGTTATTAATAAGTAATATTTCAGTTGTACTCATGTTTCCAAAAATTAAGCAAGTTTTCTTAAAAACAATCAGTTATAAAAGTGTTATAAATAGGCAATTCAGAGTTGCCATACCTAATTATAACTTCGATATACGATACAAGTAATGTTCTTGTTTTTCATGTTATAAACATATTCTAATAACAATTATAAAATTTCTCAATGCATACCAATGAAGCAATGTTAAGAATAAAAAAAAAACATTTAATTTGTGCTTTCAACATCGCATGTACGTTTTGTAAAACGGAAAAGTA